TTATTATATTTGCGTACATTGCGATTCTGAGCACTCGCAGATTGAAGATTAATTTCAATTTTCGCGTGTTTTCTTATGCTTTTTTTCAATGAAATTAATTAAAAAATAACTAAAATTTGAAAATATGCTGTTTTGGCTTTATTTTATGATTTATTTTTTAAGAATTTTTAGGATTTATAGAGTTGACCAAATTACGCTATGAAAAAGAAAAATCGCGATTTTTTGTGTTTTGGGAAATGATCATATTTTTGGTTTGCGATGAGATAGAAGGTAGGTATATTCGAGAAAAAGTTGCGCTAGGTTTTTACCTTTCCAACGGTTTATTTGATTTCATGAAATTCGAAAAAATACGAGTTTTAGAGTCGTTTAAAAAAAAGGTGACCAAATTACGCTATACTCCCCTACTATTTCGATTATAACTATAATAATTCACTTTGATGCCATTTTGTAAACGTTGCGTTTTCATAAAGATCTAATTTCGTAAAATGTTGATATAAAATATTAATAACTTACAAATTTGCTTCTCTTTATCCTTAATTGTATTCAAATTTGATAATTCATCTTCGCTCTGCTGTATGATCTGTATAATTATAGACTATGTAATAGACGTTAAATCAAATAATTTTTACAAAAAAATAAAATATTTTAACAAACATATTTACTTCATTTACAAGAGAATGGAACAAATTCACATATTTTTTTGTTTTGCGTCCCATCGTAGAGAAATGGAACACAATGTCAAAAAAATAAATATATAGATTCATTAGCCTGTATGAAAAACATTCTTTTAAACTGAAACATTGAAAATAAAAATTTTTATATAAGATAATTATGAAAGCATATTTAATCAATTCTTTTTATTAAACTTTATAAGTAATCCTACTTGCACTTCAAATCCAAGTGTATAAGTCTATATTTTTACACATTTTATCTGTGTTTTACATAGTTAAATGTATATTTTTTACACACTTACACATATTATTGTAAAATTAAACATGTAAAAGTATGCATTTAACTGTGTAAAACACAGATAAAATGTGCAAAAATATGGGGGAGTCCCGTTGGCTTACAAAATGATTGTCTACAACTTCGTTTTGCACACAATCGTATTGCACACAGCACGTTGCACACACGACCATATTGTACACAACGCATATAAATGCGTAAAAAGTGACTACAAAATTACACACTTGGATTTGGAGTGTGTGTTAAAGATCTCTCTTTATTACATTGTAATGTAATAATTTGTTTATAATAAAAATTATTTGACTTCAAATATATTGACAAATGTAATTATCAAAGATAATTGTTTCTTTGACACACTGTAATATTTATTAATTTACATATTTATGTAAAAAATTTAACTTAAAAATAAAGAAAAGGAAATCGATCTCCAATGACTCTGACCTTAACATATTGTATATCATTAACATTTGCACAACATTCAAAAGGGTGTAGCCGTTCTAAAAAGTTATTAACAAAAAAATTTATGATAATAGTGCTGTTTAAGGGACCCTGTTCTGATGACATTGACATATGTTGTCAAAGTAGGTGACCTTTTTTACGTACACCTTACCCCAGCCCCCCTTAACGCTCGGTCTACATAGATATATTATGTTTATTAGTAAAATCCAACATCAAGATCAGTAAAAAATCACGTGGAACTAGCTGTATAAAACAAGAAATTTTCGTTTATGTCATGAACTTTTTATGTTAATAACTTTTAGCATATCATGACCGACGTCCTTTTGAATGTTGTTCAGAACCGTAATCTTGATAAGAGCAATCTTCAATAACATACATAAGTATATCAAGGTCAAGTATATGAAGGTCATTAAAGATTGCTCTCCTTTTTTCATTTTTATCTTGGAAAAAAACGTTACCTGTGAAGTATGTTTATAACTTTGTTGTTTTTTTGTGGTTCCAACTGAACACCCATTAGACAATCTTTACATAATAACATATAAAAGGAAACTCTATTATTCAAAATATTAATGTGCAATCGACAAAACATTGAAATATTATTTATAATAAATTTATAATAAATAAATTTTAGTTTTAAAAATAAAAAAGTATCTCGTTATGATGTTATTATTTATGAAAAATAATTATTGGCAACTTAAGTAACATATAAGTTACCATACTTTATAAATTTTATTATTAAAATGTCTTAGAAATTAATTCCGTAAAAAGTATAAATTAGATTCTTTATACTAAGAATTCTTAGTAATCTTACCTTTGCAATACTTAATATCATATACATATATATTATAAAAGGTTTAGTCGATAAAATAAGATGTATTATTACTGCATTAATAACTTCTAATTTTTGGGAAATTTTACCTTTGTTTCATTAATAAATTAAAATTTTTATAATATGTTAATTTACAAACGTATTCAATTATATAGTCTTACCACTTGCAATTTTCCAACTACAATTCATTAAATAATTTACATAGACAATTTCGTGTCCATTTATTCCAATTTTTTCTAATTCATGTGTAAATTGTACAGAATGTTTAACAAACTTATTAAAGAAATCTTGCAATACGTGCGAACCAAATATTGGTGCAGTCATTTTCCTCATTCGAGTCCATATGGATTCTATAATTATAATAGAGGACGTATACAAAAATAATAAATAATATCATAGTATTATAACTAGATTAATATTAGGAATATTAATATAAAGAAATGTTTAAAAAAGAAAACAAATTTGTGATATTATTACCATTTAGTAATATTTAATAATATCTACTTTGAATTATAAGTAATATAAATAAAATATAATATAAAACTAAATATATTAATATATTATTTATAATATATGCATAAATTTTTGATGTTATAGATATATTAAGTATATGTACACGATTATGAAAAATGATGTAGATATATTTTTTAAATTTATAACAGTAAAACTAATAATACAGTTCCAAGCCAACAATTAGTTTAACGTTTTACTAATGTAAATATATCTTACCAGGAGCAGTGAGTAACCCAGTTCCAAATAATGGCATCACAATTTTATAAGGTATACCTTTATCTATGCAATTTTTGCTATATAAGACAGTCTACAACGTTATACAGTAGTTTTTTTTATTGTATATTTGTGATATCACATGTTTCTTTGTTTTTTGTTTAAGTAACTATCATAAGTTTCACCAATAATAAAACTAACTTGATTAATTAATAAGTGATGATATAAATATTAAAATTATACATGTGTACATATGTGCTTATATCCCAAATAGCACATGTTCGTGCTTCATATTTGTTTTGTAAATCATAATGTACTGTGACGTGACGTTTTTCGACCGTCTGTCACAAGGGTCATAACGCTCAACCGAGGAAGCGCGGTTTCAGATCCTGCGCCCTCCCCGATTTAGGGAGGCGAGCGTATCCGCGCGCGTGCGTTTTTGTATTATATTTTTTACGCGCTTTACTTAATCTTTTCTTTCCACCGGAGCGTGACAGTAGGTAGAAATCGGCAGCATAGTCAAACAGCGCGTGTAAAACCTTGTCGTCTCCATCAACCAGTGAGAAAGAGAAGGACACCGGGACGATTGGCTCGTCGGGGGAAGCACGGAGCACGCAGGTCAGCTACAATTTTCTGAGAGATATTAGCTCTGGTGCCCTTTACTGCTGTCGATTTTTTTCAGCAATCAGCAACGAGAGACAAGGGGGCCATCAACCGGACGCAACCGCTGTCCGACGCCGAAGAAAGCCGTGAGGAAAGGACATGCCATAGAAGCAATGGACTCACACGGGGGACCCGGTTGCCGAAGGCGGGAAGCACGAGGGCAAGGCAAACGAGCGTACCTGGCCGCAAGATAACCGAAAAAGTCGCGGGCCCGAGGCCCGGAAAAGTTGGGCCAAATTTGAAGCTCGCGCCGCCGATTGGGGGCGATTCGATCACGTGCGACGCCGTGATTCGCGGGCGTCGCGCTCGCAGGGCAAAGGCCAATCGGCGTGTTATCAACCGAACTCGTGACGCCTCGCGGCATGCGTGCTGCCGGAAGTGCTACCGAGCGACACTTGAGCTGTGGTCGTTGTCGGGACAGGACGCAGGATCCCGTGTAGCTGCCGAGTGGCGAGATTCGAGATTCTAGCTGCCGCTCTTGATGAGACGAACGTCGTCGAATTATATTGTCAGCCGCCGGTTTCGTTGTCGGGCGGATCGCGCTAAGAAAGTTCCGTCGTCCGTTGTAGTTATGTGTCCGCGAGTAGAGTCGCGCCATCCGCCCGGCAAGAGTTACGCGAATTAAAATAATTGCCGTTGCGCTTGCCTTGCCACAACCCGTTCATTTGTGCGTATTTTTAAGTGTTATTTCGTGTTATTTTTGCATTGAAACTCTATACGGTTCATTGCGTTGTTAGCGTGCCGAGCTTTTGGCAATTTCGAGAAAATCGCGACTCCACGTGGCATGTGATCGGCCATTACGCCGCGTGTGGCGTACATCTCGCGTGCCGCGACATTGTATTCCGCGAATTAACGAATAACTCGTACATCGGTCAGTCAAGAGAGCTGACGAGAATATTCACGGTTGCTGCTACGTCATATGCGGTCCGACGAAACGCTTGTATACTGCGATACACGCAATTATAATTGTTATCTGTTACTAAAATTTTGTGTTTTCGATAGCGCCCTTGCTCTCCTGCATTCTTTTACGCTCCTACGAAACGCCTCTTTGCCAATTTCAGGGTTGAGTTACCGGTCACTCGGATCGTCTACCGATCGCGGCTGTCGGAGTTTTAAGCGTCATTCAGTTTTCTCGTGTCGTTTGTTAGCGGATATCTCACATATGTCAGTGATTATATTCAATTCAAGTATTTCGAAGGGTGGCACGCCCGCTCGTGCCTGGCGCCCAACTTTGCGTTTTCGGTTGCCATGTAATTGATGTAATTACGAATTATTAGAATCGCGATTATTTTTGTCTCTGACTGTACGACGGACTGGCGACGAGTCTTGCTTTCTGCTTGAAAAAGTGGTTACAGTACATACATTTAGGAAACATATAGTATAAAACCTACGTACATTAACATATGTTACTTGGGACATACAATATTTGTATTTGTCTAAAGTAAATACTTAATTAAAATCTGGTTAAAAAAACTTTATATTAGAATACAAAGTTCTTTCCTTACTTTTGCCATATCTGGATTGGTTAATGTAATTATTAATTTGCTGCCTATCCAAAGTTGAGAAATAGATGGAAAATCTTCTGTGAATTTTAATATACCATCGAGAAAATCTAAAAATTTTTATATTTTTTTTATATCTTAAAGATTTTACATCTTTTAGATCTTAAAGATTTTATATCTTACAAATTTTTTATATCTTAAAGATGATTTTTATAAGATTTACACTCATTTCTATTATTACAGAAATAAATTACGTATATTTTAACTACAGCATATATACACTGTTCAATATATTTAAACTCTTCGTAAATATTTGTATGTTATACATACAGGGTCCATTATGAAAATAATGCGCATTTTCTGGGAAAAATAGATTTATTGATCGTACTTGTACAAATGCTTAAAATTTTTCAAAATACTCTCCTCCTGCATCAATACACTTGTGGAGACGTGTTTGCCACGCCTGAAAGGCACCCTGCCTCTCAGGAACGTTGTAACATGCTTTTGGATGTTTTCCACGGTCTCCCAATATTTTCCTTTCAGCTCTCTCTTGAGTCGGGGAAACAAAAAAAGTCGCATGGAGCCAAGTTGGGACTGTAAGAGGGTTGGGGGACCACCGGTGTGTTGCTCCGGGCCAAGAAGTTGGTAACGATGAAGATGGCATTGTCATGGTAATGGTGGCATTGACAATGCCACCAGGCACACGGCCTTCATCGTTACAATCCCGACTGGGCTCCATGCGACTTTTTTTTGTTTCCCCGACTCAAGAGAAAGCTAAAAAGAAAACATTGGGAGACCGTGGAAAATATCCAAAAGCATGTTACAACGTTCCTGAGAGGCATTTCCGTCGAGGAGTTTCAGGGTGCCTTTCAGGCGTGGCAAACACGTCTCCGCAAGTGTATTGATGCAGGAGGCGAGTATTTTAAAGAATTTTAAGCATTTGTACAAGTACGATCAATAAATCTATTTTTCCCAGAAAATGCGCATTACTTTCATAATGGACCCTGTATGTGTACACGATTCCAGATCAAATTAGAAAGTAAATGTCTAAAAATTTTTTGTTCTTTTTACAAGGAAACACATTACGAAAGTGTCCCCCTCCGATTTAACCTTTGGATATTAAAATACAGACAAAAATAAGGTACAGTCGAACCTCCGTAAAGTTTTCTTCGTTTTTGTCTTAACTTCTGCATAATGTCCGTTTCTACTAATGTAGATTAACTTTAATTCTGGTTTAACTTGCTTTGTATCTTTTTCTAGTTTTAAGAATTAGAAAAAGATAAAAATAAAACCGAGATTAAAGTTAATCTACATTGGTAGAAATGGACATAAAAGTCACATTTTAACCACCCATATAATAATCTCCTCTCTTATGGTAACTCCCCACTACATATACCAGCGCATGCGCATAACGTAAATCAAGGTTATTTAAGATTATGTTTTTGGAATTTCGGCTGCGACATTAAAAAAGTGGAGATAAAAGCGGAGTTTACTTTTACAGAGGTTGGTTGGTCCTGACAAGTTACTTTTATGGAGGTTCGACTGTACTCATTATTTTTTATACGTGCTGGATCGCACGTTAAGAAGATGATACCCAGCTTTGAATAAAAAAATTATTTTTCTTTCTGATTGTGAGTAAATATTATATAAACCGTCAAACATATGAAAAAATGTTTTAAACAAAAGTTTTACGACTTCAAGTGCGCTTTACAATGGTGCATTTAAAAAATATATATATATTTTTTATTATCCCCTACCCCCACTTTTAATTTTAAAAAATTAAAATGCACCATTGTAAAGCGCTCTTAAAGTCGTAAAACTTTTGTTTAAAATTTTTTTATACCTTTGATGATTTACATTATGTTTATTCAAAAAAAACAGATTTTTTCAAGGCTGGATATCAACTCCTTAACGACTCAGCATGTACAGTCAAACCTCGATAACTCGAACCTCTACAACTTAAAAACCTCTGCAAGACGAGAATCTTGTTCATTCTCTTCCGCTCCACTGCGAAAAACCTCTAAATCGAAATAAAAACTACCTTAACTCGAATTGTTTATTAGGTATTTAGATGTATTATTTTACCTCTGTAACTCGAATTTAAAGTAGTCAAACTTCTACAAGTCGAAGTTTACCTTTATAAGTCAAACTTCTATTGTCGCTGCTTTTATATTTCGAAGTTGTAGCTATGTGTAACCATGAGTAATACTGGTATTTTGTTTTATGATTACATTTATTATATGTGCGCAATAAATAATTCACTGGCAAAATATGATTTTTTTCCTTTAAAAACTATTATAATTGGAAAATTGTAAACTGTCGTACAAAGCCTCCATAAGTCGAATTTTTATATATTAATCCTCTTTTACTCAAATTTCGATAAGTCGAAAACCTTATAACTCGAAAAGTTTTTCTCTTTCTTTGAGATTCGAGTTATCGAGGTTTAATTGTATTAAAAATTGCTAGTATCTTATTTTTGTCTCTATTTTAACATGTCCAACGCTGATTTAAATCGGAAAAGAACACTTCCATGTACATTTCACAAGAAATTAGATATTTTGAAATTATTTTATGTACTTCAAAGATATTCAACACTTTTCTCCACATTTTTTTTATTACTAAGCGTTAAGTAAAGATAAAAAATTATGTGTTTCATATGTACTAATATGTACTAAATAAAATATATACTAATACATACTAATATATACTAAATTTCTTTAATGTCATATAGGTACTTTTATATTTTGAAATGTTCACAAAAGGATTTGAATTACTTTCAATTTAAACATTTAATTATATT